AGAGAGAGAGAGAGAGAGAGAGAGAGAGAGAGAGAGAGAGAGAGAGAGAGAGAGAGACCCTCAGTTAAGGATACAGACGACAGCGCCCTGCTCCATTTGTGAGGCTGCAGGACAATAATTAGTGCCTGGCTCTGTCGCATGCTAGGATGCGTTATAACTCGCTCCTGTTGCGATTGCGTCTCTGGTTATTTGTAAGACGCTAGTCTACATGGACTACCGTAGTGTGGATGAGTGAGGCCTAACCCCCCAGATAAGTTGATGGGTTTCCCGCAAAGTACCAAAGCTGGTAGCATTCCATTTTTCCAAGGGGAATGTGGAAGCGATACATGGGTAAGTAATTAAGATAAAATTTAATAAATCAATTATCATTAGGTGGTTGAGTTTGAACCAAAGTAGTTGGCGGTAAAATGACGATCAAGTGCGGCTGTTTGTTTATAGAATTGGACTATAATGGAGCTAAGGGAGTTTACTTTCCCCTTCGACACGGGCGACGGACACATAAGGAGATGGTGGAGGATAACTGATCTGCCGGTGGAGGCTAACTGATATGACGGTTAATCTCCCCTAGGAAAGAACCAAGCTTAAGGATGGGGATACTTCTTTTCGGAATCAATTCTGATATTTGTATTGGTTTGTCATCGCCTCGGCGTTGAGCGAGCACTGTAAGTGTCAAGCATTCTCAAATTTCTCATGGGGATTTTTTTTTTTTTTTTTTTTTCGGTCCAGTCTCCCCTGCAAGTTGGGTTGACACAGATTTACCATTCTTCCCTGGAATAGAACTTGCGAAGTTACGACACAAAAAAAAAAAAAAAAAAAGGAAGGAAAGAAACGGGGCATTATAGCTGTATTTGGCTCACCTTTCCGTCGTCCAGATGCAGGGAAAATGACCTAACGTTCTATTCGGGAGAGGAAAGTAGCAGCGCAGCGCGGGAGCATCGGCGTGCTCCACCAGGCTGTGTACCGTTTTACTCGTCTCGACTGGTTAAACGGAATTCTTCTCGATTTGTTACGAAATAATACGAAGTTATCTGTCGATGAAGAGCTAATAGAGTTTTTTTTTTTTTTGTTTTTTTTTTTTTAATAGAGTTTTTTTTGTTTKTTTKTTGAACTTTGTTTGTTTGTTTTCATTTCGAAGAGAGCATTCTGGTCATTTCACAAAAAAAATGTTTTCTTTTCGAAGGGATTTTGTATTTCATGCATTCCATTTTACTTTCTGGGATGACTGGCTGGCTGGCTGGGTTGGGGAAAAAAAAGAAAAAGAAAAAAAAAAAAACTTTGTGGTCGTCAAGGCTACAGTGTTGATGATGTAATGGAGAACGTCTTCTTTTTTTTTTTTTTCCGTAGAGTATGGTGACACAGAGAGCAACCTTTTTGCACGCTAGGGTGGGTCGCTTTTGCTTTTTTTTTTTTTTTTTTTTTTTTTTTTTTTTTTTTTTTTTTTTTTTTTCGGTTTGGTGGGTGCCTTGTTCTTCCAAACGTTTCGACTGCACCGCACCTCGCCTCCTGCCAACAGGTCGAGTGCTTGCTCGCCTGGACTAGAGTTCGTGATGTAGTGAAGAACGTCTTTTTTATGTGGAGTATGGCAGCACGGAAAAAAGAAAAAAAAAAACTTTTTGAGACGAGCACGGGTTGCTGCGGCAAACCTTTTGACTGCACTACACCTCGCCATCTGGTGTCGACGGGTCGAGTCCTTTTCCTCGCCTGGATTACACTTGATCATGTGATGGAGAATATTATCAGAATGTATCTTTTTTAATCGAGTTTCGCGACACAGAAAGCAAAAGCGAATGTATCTTTTTTAATGGTGTTTTGTGACACAGAAAGCAAAAGCGAACTCTTTTTGAGACGAGGGCAGTTTGCTGCGGCAAACGTTTTGACTGCACTGCATCTCTCGCTTCGTCTCAACTGGTCAAGTCCTTGTCCTTGCTTGCCTTAGATGATTTCACACGCATGCTTTTTCCGAATCGTCTCTTCTCCCGATGCCCCGTTGTTGTTACGAGATTCTGTGAAAAGAGTGTTTGTCAGTGTTTGAATTTGTTTAAATTGTTTTTATTTCCTTTTTTTAAGTTCTCTTTCTTATGTTTTTTCGGTGCAGGGGCCATGCTTTTTTTTTTTTTTTTTTTTTTTTTTTTTTAGACACTCCCCCACCACTGTTAGTGGTGCTGCTAATATGCTGCTCTGTACCATTCCAAATTTGACGGATGTCCCAAAGAGCTGGACTGTGCATGTCCTAAAATGTCAAACGGATTGAATCCTCACCACCCTCGGTCTTCTTCCCCCGAATAGAACGCCCACACGGTCATTATAGCTGAATTTGGTCCAACTTTTGGTTTAGGTACAGCGATATTGACTGGGCGTTCTTATTCGGGTCGTCGACGGTAGGCGACAAAATGTGCTGCCAGCGCTCAGGCTGAACAGTCCTCTGTAATCACAGTTCTGAATTCTCATGCTCCAGCTGTCTTTTTCTCTTTTTTTAAGTTTTTTTTTTTTTTTTTGATGCTGGTGCAAGCTGCGGATGACGGCCCCGACTACGTGGCAACTTCGGAGGCTGTCATTGAGCTATGCTACACGTTGGGTTGCGGCATCATTCCACGAGCGACACCGAGATGGTGGATCAAACGCAGGACGTGGGGGACATGGGAAGAACCTTCGACAATGCGATGATGCCACGGATGACTACTTCAACGAGAAGCAGCACAGCGCCGAGGAGCAGCAGAGGGGCCACCAGAAGGAGCACAGCGACGAGGAGCTGCAGAGGGAGCCTGCGGTACAGGTCGGCCATGAACTGCACGGTGGAGAGGGCAGCAATGAGCACACGATGGCGGAGAAGGCAAGAGTTTTATCGGACGTGCAGCATGTGACGACATGCATGGGAATACGACGCTTGTGAAGAAACCTCTTCTGTGGATGGACTGAAGTTGCAGCCGGGAAAAAAAAATAAATTCCGACGGTTGATGCTGGCCGGAAATGAGGATGCCGCCCGATGGAGGCCCACCGCCAACAGTAGCCGTTTGGGGGCGTTGGGGGACTACGCATACGTTCCTCGAGCGCGCGAGACCGTGTGATGCCGGTCGAAAACGATGACGCCACCTAATGGAGGCCCATTGTCAACAGTGGCCGTTGGGGGACGTTGGGGGACTACGCAGACGTTGGAGGGTGGGGATGTCCGTGCTAACGCCGCTGGACCACATCTGGACCACCCAAGAACCAAAACTCTCCGTCGACGCATGTCTTCGCCACTCCGTGAATCACGGTTCCTTGAGCTCCAAGGGACCTCACGAGGTCCATTGGAGATAAGGAAATTTTGGCTGGGGCCACAAGGATGCCACAAGGAATTTTCCTTGTGGCGTTTTCACATTTCTTTTTCAATTTCGTCCCCAAGGACAGGTGGAACGAGCGCGTCCTTGTGGATTTCACGTCCCCGAGGAGTGTCTGACGACGTCCTAACACAGATATGTATGTGTGATTAATACTGATCATTGAGCTCTTCGACATTAGGTCATCCTACAATTTGCTATTTTATATATATATGTATTATATATATATCGTCAAATATAGCAGCCTCCTGATGAGTTGGTGAAACTCCGATGAAACAGTAAACAGTTTGTCACAGCCCCTCGTTTGTTGTCCTCTTCTCCTTCTCTGCCTACGGTTTATCGGGCAGCTCTGTTTGATATATATATAATCATGGCTACCATCCGGACATCCGGACGGGCATCCAGATGGTCTGGTCTGGTGCCTGGATGCTGGACCGTAGGAGGCCTGTCCGGAGGGGGCCAAAACCCCAAAATTTGAGAAAGAACGGCGGCACCCTTAACCTTCCCCTATTTGTATCTCAGGGCAATCACCCCCCTCTCCCTCACTAACCCCAACCCACCTTATTTTTTCACCAATCATGGACAAGTACGGCCAGGAAGACGTGGTGAACGCATGAGGATGTGGCATCTTTTTTTTTCCTTCTTTTTTTTTCTAAATGGAGGATATGGCATGTGTCAAAGACTCGAAAGAAGATTTGCATGAGGATGCTGTACCCGTTTCATCAGCGGCTCATCCAACATCCTGTCCGTGCATGCGTCCGCCGTCCGTCCATCTGTCGGTCTGCTGGATGTGCCTCAACTGTTCTGCTGTGTTGCCCACCGCTCAAATGTGACCATCATATCATTTACCACAGCGGAAGTATCACAGGAAACTTCACATAGAAAACTTAGGATTACAAAAAAAAAAAAAAAAAAAAAAAAAACCCAAAGGATCCAACGCTAGGAGAGTCGGGCAAGTTGGTATTGTCAAGGAATGCTCGACTCCCGGTTAGTGAAGGTTTTGTTGTCTGGGTGGGTTGGATCATTGGATGGTTCCTTTTTTTTTTTTTTTTTTTTTTAAGATTGTCGTCTTTTTATTAGGGCCCAGTGCCCAAGGCCAGAAATACAATGGTACAGGTTCCAGATTCAGGGGACGTT